AACGCTCAGCTTTGTGCAGAAATTATGTTAATGTGCAGGTATAAATGACCCCTTAGAAATGACAACTGCGTTGAGAATAGAAAGGCCACCCATCTTGTGTTGATGGGACCGACTCAAAACCTCTTCCTCGGATACCACCAACCGTGAAAGGGTTTTCATGGCATATTTTTTTTTTATTTCCATCTTACGGTTCTTATTGCAAGTTAGACACCTTCTGCTTTGACTCACGGCAGGCTGAGAAGATGCTCATTGCCCGGTTACAATTGAGGGAGGGGTCAACTCAAAGAGGGGGATTTATCCTTTGGGTTGATGGTGACCCCCCCCCCAACTGTTAACAGAATAAAAGAATAGAATAGAATAAAATTATTTATTGGCCAAGTGTGATTGGACACACAAGGAATTTATCTTTGGTGCACATGCTCTCGGTGTACCTAAAGAAAAAAATAAAATACGTTCATCAAGAATCATAAAGTACAACACTTAGTGACAGTCACAGGTTACTAATCAGCAATCAGATCATACATAGGCTACTAATATGCAATCAAAACATACTAGGAAAACAAATAAAACAATATAAAGTGTAAAGATACAAGCAACACTGGAAGAAATAGGTAACAGGAAGGATGAGAAGAAGAATAGTAATACAGTCTTGCTAAGTCATTTGACAGTGTTGTGGGAGTTAGTTGACTCCGTGGTGGTTGAACCAAGTTCAAGTCCAGGAAAATGATTGGCCTTCTTCCAACAGGAGAGAAGCTCTGTTGCTCAGAGTTACTTCTTGTTGTTGGTATGATATTAATCCTGGGATTCATCTATGCTCGTAAAGGAGAACAGTTGCAGCTCAGGGTCCTTGGTGCTGTCTGAGCTTGGTGGTTTTCTTGCGGATGTTTCATTACCCAACTAGGGAACATCATCAGTACTAGAAGGGAGTGGGCATTGTGGAGAAAAACTGGCGTCCTTGGTGCTCTCTGAGCTTGGTTGTTTTCTTGCAGACGTTTCATGACCCAACTAGATCACATCATCAGTGTTAGAAGAGAGCGAAATTGGAGGAGGAGGAGAACTATGGGGTAGCTTGGTTGTGTAGAGTTGTAATTGCAGGAATGTTCCAATCTCGGATGGCAAACCTCAGATAAAGAATGTTTCCAAGCAAATACAACTCAGGCAAACAAAGTCACTAATCTAAAGGAGGATTAGAGAGAGGAAGTAAACATATGTTAGACTTTAACTAGAGATAATTAATTGTATTAATTACTGTGCTAAACAGTAACCAAAGTTAAGCAGTAACCAAAGTTAACCAATGATGGAGGATAACTAAAAATGTGTATAAATGCAAGACTAGACTCCAATAAAGATCATCATGATTCAGTTGTTCATGATCAAACAACCCGACTGCCTCATCATTACAACACTGTTGTCCCCACAAGCTGCTTAAAATCTTAGTGGGCAGAAAATGCTGGCCTCTCCTACACAACACCGTTGCTTGGTTGTGGCTTTTAGGAAACTGCAGACTTTTTCCGAGACTCTTGAACCAAGAGTCCTGGATGACTTTCTGAGTTTTCCTGGGGACCCTCTCTTGTGTCAACATTCAGTCTTAAGAGAGAGATGAACCGAATTGGAAGGGACCTTGTAGGTCATCTAGTCCAACCCCCTGCCCAAGCAGGACGGTACAGGAACTGGGCTTGGCTAGTCTAGTGAAGAGAAGGAGCAGGGGAGACAGGATAGCAGTCTTCCAGTATTTGAGGGGCTGCCACAGAAAGGAGGAAGGGGGTCAAGCTATTCTCCAAAGCACCCGAAGGCCAGACAAGGAATAATGGATGGAAACTGAACAAGGAGAGATTCAACCTGGAAATAAGGAGGAATTTTCTGACAGTGAGAACAATCAACCCATTGAATAGTTGCCTTCGGAAGTTGTGGGAGCTTCATCACTGGAGGCTTTCAAGAAGAGACTGGGCTGCCATTTGTCAGAAATGGTGTAGGGTCTTCCGCTTGGGCAGGAGTTGGACTAGATGACCTACAAGGTCCTTACCAACTCTGATTATCTGTTATCTGTTATCAGGAGACCCTACTACACCATTTCTGACAGATGGTAGTCATTCTTGCGATCAGGAGAGGAAAAGAAATGGAGGCTTGAGCTGGAATTTTGAAAGGACGCATCACGAGAAGGGGCCACTCCATGCTTTCAATGCCTTAATCCTCCAAAGCAACATTTCAGAGAAAACATTTTGACATCTTTCGGGTGACAAGCTCATAATTTGATTGGAATATCCTGGTGAGTCCAGAACAATTAACAGAGAGAGAACACAGGTGACCTGAAAGAGTAAAATTGTGGTTTAAAAAGAAAATAATAATTGGTGATTAATTGTTCTACCAACCAATGTTTAAAGTACCAAAGTGTTTAGTCCTCCAAAGTTGCCTCCTCCATTTTGTGGGACAGATTCATCCTCTCCCACCAAGTCTCAAATATGTGGGTGCACAGATGCTTACATAGTTGAGGAAATTCCACAAATTCCTGCAAGGAGAAGTAGAAGCATTTGCAGATATATGTCTCCAGCTGTTCCAAACGGCTTAACCTTGAAGCAAGGATGGAGTAAAAACATTGGGTGGCCTTACAATATCTCGGTAACTCCTAGAATTGTCCAGACTCCTACAATAGGCAAAGCACCCATGAATCAGGTCATAAATTTGACCAGATACCTTGAAAACTCTCCAGAAGACAGACCTTAATGCCTTCGACAGCTTCATTCGCCCCATTATAAGTTTCTTGAAATTGAGGGAGAAGAAAAAGAAGGCAGTTTTAAGGCTGAGAAGTGGTACATTCTGGATACCTTCAAAATTCTTGCTTTTTCTCCAAGTGTTTTTGGCTTTATTCCCTTTTTTAAAAATGCATTCCTCAAGAGCAAACAATAGATACAAACTCAAGGTAAACCGCACCAAACTTGATTGCAGGAAATACGACTTCAGCAACAGAATGGTCAATGTCTGGAATACTCTACCTGACTCTGTGGTTTCTTCCCCAAACCCCAAAAACTTTAACCTTAGACTGTCTACTATTGACCTCACCCCTTTCCTAAGAGACGTAGGGGGCGTGCATAAGCGCACCAACGTGCCTACCGTCCCTGTCCTATTGTTTCTTTTATTTTTCTTATATGTATCAATGAATTCATAACTATGTTTTTACTTATACCTATTATCTTGTAAGCAATTGACAAAAAAAATAAAAATAAAATAAAAATAAAGAGTCTTGAGAATCTCCAATACTAACTTATTATGGAGAGACAAATCTCGCAACTCATTTCAAAGGAAAAGAACAGTGCCCTCTAGTGGACAAGGTTCTATATATCATCAGGTTTGGTTGTTTTTTAAAAAATTGTTTTGAAAAAAAGGAAGGTGTGTGTTTGTGGCTCTTTATATATATGTATCTCTGTGTGTGTGTGTCTACGTATAACTGTGCACTTATCTGTGCATATGTTTGTGTATATATGTGTGTGTGTGTGTGTGTGTATAACTGTCCTACTGTCCCCATTTATTCGTATTCATTTATTATGTACAGTATGTATGTATACCAATTTATACTTATGTTTATATGTTATGTTCATACTTATATTGTTTTCTCATACATGCTTGACAAACAAATAAAATAAATAAATAAAAATATAGGTGTGTATAAACTACGTTTCTGTGTATTTGTGTATATCTGTGTGCATACATATATATGTGTGTGTAAATATCTATCATCTACTTATCTATCTCTATCATCTATCTATCCATCCTCCATCCATCCTTTCCCTTCCCCTCTCTAATCTCCATCATTCTATCACTCTATATCTACTCTATCTATCCCTCCCTCCATCCATCCATCCATTCACCCACCCACCCACCCATCTGTCTTTAACTTTCTGTCATTCACCTCTGTCTGTCTGTCCGTCCATCCATACCTATTTGTCTATCAACTATGATCTATCTACGTATATCTCTGTCCCTCTCTCTGTGTGTGTCTGTATGTATATGTATATGCATATGTATTTGCATATGTATAAGTAAAAATGTGTTTATGTGCATGTTAAACTGTACATGTATTCATGTGTATATTTTGTGTATATCTGTGTGCATACATATATATGTGTAAATATCTATTATCTACTTATCTATCTCTATTATCTCTCTATCCATCCTCCATCCATCCTTTCCCTTCCCCTCTCTTATCTCCATCATTCTATCACTCTATCTACTCTATCTATCCATCCATCCATCCATCCACCCACCGACCCACCCACCCGTCTTTAACTTTCTGTCATTCACCTCTCTGTCTGTCTGTCCGTCCATCCATATCTATTTGTCTATCAACTATGATCTATCTACGTATATCTCTGTCCCTCCCTCTCTCTGTGTCTGTATGTATTTCCATATGTATAAGTATAAATGTGTTTATGGGCATGTTAAACTGTACATGTATTCATGTGTATATTTTGTGTATATCTCTGTGTGCCATATGCACATAGGCGTACTCATGCATATAAGTGTGTGTCCCCGTGTGTATGTGTATTTATATTGCACGTGTGTGTGTGTGTGCGTGCATGTATGCTTGTATATACAACTTCCAAAAAGGCTGCTGCTCCATCGCTCCGTCCTGAAAGCAGCTTCCCCAACCTGGCGCCCCCAGATGTGCTGTGGGAGGGGGACAACGGAGACCCCAAACTCTCTTTGCAACGCTCCCTGCGCGGCAGCCAAAAAGAACTCAGCCACCAGAGGGCGCCCCGTTGGGGAAAGACTAAGCTAAACCTTCCCGGAGGCGGAGAGGAAGCGGAGGCGGGGCAAACTCAGAAGGCGGGGCGAGGGCGCGTCATCCCCCCTCGCTCCTCCTTTCTTCCTTCTCTCTCTCCCCCCCCTCTCCTCCTTCCCGGAAGTTCCGTCGCCAAAACCCATCCGACGCTCGGGGGGGGGGGGAAAAGCGCCCCGCTCCTTCCGTTCCGGTCTCTATTCGGGCCCCCCCTCCCCTCCGACGCTGGCTTTCCCCGATATCCAGGCAGGTCGTCGGTGCGGCCGCGGAGCGTCCCGAGGCGCCTCCGGGCGGGCTGTGGGCGGAGCAGGAGGAGGAGGAAGGGGAGGCCGTCCGGCGGGGAAGGGGGCGGCGTCGCCCCGCCTGCGCCCCGCCTGACTCCGGCGCCACGTCTCGGAGGAGGAAGGGCGCCTCGGGCCGAGCCGAGCCGGGCAGGTCAGCGGGGCGAAGGGCCGGGCCGGACTTGGGAATAGAGGGAGCGGGGGGGAGGCTGTGGGGCCTGCAGGGCTGGGAGGGGGGGCTGTATGTGTCTCTGTGTGTCTGTGTCTATAAAAGTCACACCCTTGTGCAAACACACACACACACACTTCGAAATAACGCCTCCCTGTCTGGGGAGACTGGAGGGGGGGCTGTCTCTGGCCATGGGGGGTAGGTGGGGATGGCCTGCACACGTGTTTTGCAACACACACGCGTGTCTCTGGGTGTGTGTGAGAGAATCTGTCTGGGTCCTTCCCTTGTGGGGGTTGGGTTGTGTGTGTGTTTGTGTGCTTTGTAGGTTGCGTTGTAGGACAAGGGCTTTATGGGCTCTGTAGAGCTGGGTAGGTGTGAAGTGGAGAATAGGGTTTTGTGTGTGTTTCTATGAAGTTGGTTTATGGGTTATATAAACCCTGGAAGGTTTAAAGGTTTGATGTGGTGTGTGTGTGTGTGTGTGTGTGTGTGTGTGTGTGTGTGTGTGTGCTTGCCTGCCTATCTGTCTGTCTGTCTGTGTATGCATCTACATTATGAAGTTGCTTGATGGGAGTGATGTAGAGGGCAACTTGTGGGTGTGGGTGTATTTGTGTGTATCCATGTACAAAGTTGATTCATGGACTGTAAGGTTTGATGTGTGTGTGTACATTAGCATGAAGTTGATTTATGGACTATATAGAGCTGGGTAGGTGTGATGTAGGATGTACATGTGTGTGTGTGTGTGTGCCTGTGTGTATGTGTATAGGCCTGGGAGTGGGAAGGTTTGATCAGTGTGTGTGTGTTTGTGTCTCTGTCTGTTTGTGTGTGCATCTATGAAGTTGCTTTATGAGCCGTTTAGACTTGAATAGGAGGGATGTAAGGTGTGTGTGTGGGTGTGTATTTGTGTGTAACAGTGTACAAAGCGGCTTCATGGACCAGGGTAAGTATAAGGTTTGATGTGTATGTGTGTACATCATTATGAAGTTGATTTATGGATTATATAGAGTCAGGTTGGTGTAATGTAGGGTGTGTGTGTGTGTGTATATAAAGTTGGTTTATGGATTAAATAAACTTGGGAAGATTTAAGGTTTGATGTGGGGGTGTGTGCATAGGTGTGTACATGTATGAAGTTGCTTGATGGACCATACTATAAAGACCAGGTAAGTGTAAGGTTTGATGTGTGTACATCTATGAAGTTCATTTATGGACTATATACCTGGATAGGTGTGATGTGTGGTCAAGGACTCTGAAACTGGTGGTTGTTTTAATGGATGGGTGGATTGAACACAACTAGTGAGGTCATCCATAGAGGTTAAAAGTCACTGTTGTGAAGCATTTGTCAGAGACTGGTGTTGTGAACAGAGGCTGGCAATCTGACCCCAAAAGGGGAGGTTGAGTGTGCCAATGGCTTTGACCCCGCTCCTTTCCCAAGGAACATGGGCTTGGATACACCGTCCTTTCCCTTCTTCCATCCCAGCAAGTGGTGTTAAATTAAAGCTTCTTGCCTCCAGAAGTTGTGAATGCTCCCATACTGCAGGTTCATAAGAAGAGATTGGACAATTATTTATCTGAAATGGATATAGGGTCTCCTGCTCCAGCAGAGGGTTGGACTAGAAGACCTCCAAGGTCCCTTCCAACTCTGTTTATTTTACGTTCTATGTTCTAAAGCCCGCCTGCCAAGAGAAGTCACCTCTTCCAAGATGGACATCAAGGCTTGAAATCTTGAGCATCTAAAACTGTTTTCTAAATGACATGAAGGAGAGGACTTGAATGTGTTGCTAACACATTTCTAAGAGGTATTTTAGGTTGGCAAGTAAACATGGAACTTCTTGAGATCTTCAATAAGGTCCCACAAAAATCTTCTCCTCTTAAGTGCCCCATTTAAAGACAGCCATTGCTAGTTGCTTTCTGCATTTTGAGTAAGGAAAATCTATAATTTACCCTACCTATACTGTTCTAGGTAGTCCCCTTTACCTTGATTTTGGCTCTAGAATTAATTGTATGTGAGTTGATTCTGAGGTTCTTAGTCCTTCTTTGGCAGGATTCTTCTATACAAGTAGTCCTCGACTTAAGACCTCAACGGAGCCCAACATTTATGTTGCTAAGCAAGACATTTGTCAAGTGAGGTTTGCCCCATTTTACAACCTTTCTTGACATTTGTTAAGTGAACAATATTTGTTAAGTGAATCCCTGCAGGTGTTTAGTGGGTAACCCGATTGTTAAGTAGCTTCTCCACCAACTTTGCTTGTCAGAAGGTCGCAAAAGGGGATCAAGTGACTCTGGGATGCTGCAACCATCATAAATATGAGTCAGTTGCCAAGCATCTGGATTTTGATCACGTGACCATGGGGATCTGCAATGATCATAACTGTGAAAAATGGTCCTAACTTGCTTTTTTCAGTGCCGTTGTAACTTGAGACAGTCTCTAAATGAACCGTTGAAGCTTAAGGACTACCTGTCATCTTTATCTCTTTGCTTTCTTCACGCAAAATGAAGCAACCTTAACAGGCCATAGGCCTCTTTTCCCGTCCTCGGTTAGTAAGGCACGCATCTGCAAAAAGAGGTATTTTAATCTCTGCCAAATCCGTAGCCTCGTAAACAAACGCATGGTCCTATAAATCAAACTGCCCCTGTGCTTGTTGGGATAAAATAGTCCGGCTGGCAGTTGCCCTGATGAAAATAAAAGGCAACTGGTAACACGATTAGGAAGTGAAAATAGTTTTTTGTTTCCACTCCCCGCAGGAGCGATCGAAAGGGCCCCGATCCAGCCTGCATCACTCATAGGCAGCCACTTCAAGAAAACCTGGATGAATTCCATGTGTGGCTGAGAGGTCCGTACGCATCCTGCAGGGTTGGATTTGATTTAAATCAAGTCGATGATTTAAATCAACGATTTCAATCCATAGTTTAAAAAAAGGGGGGGGGCTTGATTTAAAATCAACTCCATTTCAATCCTAATTTTTAAAGAGCCACCGTCATCTCTGTCCCCACAGCGACCCCCCTTCCGACCCACGGTTGACTGGCAGACCGTCCCAATATTGCAGAATCTGCAGCCTCATGCTGCACAATTAAAGCTCCATTTCACGCCGAATAAACTAAATTATTAATGGATCTTAAATAGAAAGCTATCTTTAGATAGATTGTTTTTTTACTCCTTTTATTGTTAAAATAAATTCGATACAAATAAAAAACAATTTGGTTTTAAAAAAAAATAAAAATCTGAATTTTTGGAATTTTTTTTCATTGATTTTTATCCCCCCTGAGTCATCCTGAAATGTTTAGTTTGTGAATTTCCTCTCCCCGAGCTCCTTAGTTTTACCATCCAGGCTGAAGAAAGTCCAAACAAGCTCCCACCCACCCATTATTAAGATGGTGCCAATTACGTAAGGATTGGCACTCGGTGAGATCAGAATTATATGTGGCAGATGTAGGTGATCTCCGGAAAAGAAAAGAAAAAAAAAAAACCCACAAGGAACTATTTTTAAAAAGGAGTGTCGTCCTGTATGTGTGTGTGTGTGTGTTTGTGTCTGTTTATCTCAGCGTTGTGATGTAACCCCAACCATTGTTTGCTTTTCCCTTGCAGCGACTCTTAAATGATTTCCAGAAGTTCTTCAGTCGTCCGTCAAGTGGGCTGGAACTAAACCAAATTGCTTGTGGCTGGGAAGGAATTGGTGCAGAAGCCCCCTAACAATGTGCAGGCTGTTTGGGGGGCTCCTAGCGGTATTGATGGAGAAAAAGTGGACTCTGTAGGTTCGCTTGGAAAGTTTTCCGCCGGGGAAATATTTTCCTTGGACCGTATCTCCCATCAGCCATGGACTCCTCAGTGGTCATTCAGGAAGCCAGCCATGGTAACCTGGGCAGTTCTGAACCCCAACCAGACCCGGAGGTCAAATCGACGATGGAAGGAGAGGATCTTAACTGTAAGCAAGTTTCTTTGGATATGGATTTTTTTTTTTTAATGAGCATTTTTGTTACTGTTGTTGGATTGTAATGGTGGGGAAGGTGAGGAAGAACTTGGACAGAGGAGGTTGTCATTCCAGATGCATTTGGAAGGTTCAAGGCGGTAATTGCTCCTGAATTTCCCTCCTAGTGACTAAGTCAGTGGTATGTCCCAGAGGTGCTTTTTCAAGAGGCAACTGGACTTGCTTGGTTTTTCTTTGAAGGCGTTTTGCTCCTCATCCAAGGAGGCTTCATCAGCTCTCAGGGGTATCTTTCATCATCATCATCATCTTCATTTAATGACTCCATAATCCCTTGCAGGGTGGAGTTTGGGCAACTGGAGCTTGCAGAGTGTTTGAATGGCCAGATGCCTTTCCTGTTACCAGTGCGGAGTTTAGTTCAGCAGATATATTCTCGGTGTGTCCAGAGAGAGAGAGAGATATCTGCCTCTACCTAGAATCGAATTCACAGCCTCCTGATTGTGAGGCGAGAGTCACTGTTACCACTCCATGTCTTTCATGGCTAATGCTGTGGAGATATCTACCATTGTCCATGTATTCGTCTATTGCAAAGTAGAAGAGGAAGAAGGTCTTAGAACTGTGTCTAAACTCCAGATGTGGTTCTATGAAAAAAAAACTTTGTTTTTTCCACCCACCTCTTCTTCCATCCTCCCTTTTTCTCTGGAAAAAGTTGCGGCTGCTCCATCTCTGGAGGTTTTTAAGAAGAGACTGGATAGCCCTTTGTCTGAAATGGTATAGGGTCTCCTGTAGAGCAGGGGGCTGGACTAGAAGACCTCCAGGGTCCCCTCCAGCTCTATTCTGATTCTAATCCTGTTAAATCAGCACTGGATTGGGGTGGGGGGGGCTTTAGTCAGAAAGGTCTCTGTCTTGGAGTTGCATCTTAAAATAACTCAAAGTAATGAGGAGTAGAACGAAGTAGAACAAAGTTGAAAGGGGCCTTGGAGGTCTTCTAGTCCAACCCTCTGCTCAGGCAAGAAGCCCTACACCATTCCAGACCAACGGCTGTCCGGTCTCTTCTTAAAAACCTCCAGTGCTGGAGCGCCCACAACGTCTGGAGCCAGCTTAAATTTTGGCATTTTAAGATTTGAGAGCCACAAATGCCCGCTCTGCCTCCGAAGAGCTGACTCACAACCAGCCAGCCTGAAGAATGACAACCAGGGAGGAGAAAGGGTGGCCTCAGAGTGGCCTGTTTTTATCAAACCCCTCTGTAATTAAAAGAAGAGCATTAAGGGAGACAGGAAGAACATCTGCCTGAGACAGTCTCCTAACTTATTGCCCATTAAGATGGAGGATACCAAAGCGCATGGATCCGAATTAAGAGAACTCTATTCCCTCTGCCTGGTGAGGTTTTAGAAACATCGGGAAGGAGGGAGAAATAAATTGACTCTCGGACCCAGCGAGGGGAGGGATGTGCTAGACATTATGGTTGATGCATAAAACAAATCTCATCTCCCTGTCCAATACTTCGGAACGTTTCCAGATTTTTATTTGCAAGAGTCGTGTGGTGCAGTGGTTCAAATGCAGTGTGGCAGGCTAATTCTGCCCACTGTCAGCAGTTCGATCCTGACTGGCTGAAAGTTGACTCAGCCTTCCCATCCTTTCGAGGTCGGTAAAATGAGGAGACCCAGATTGTTGGGGGCAAGAGGCTGACTCTGTAAACCACTTAGAGAGGGCTGGAAAGCACTATAAAGCGGTATATAAGTCTAAGTGCTATTGCTCTTCCTTCCTTCCTTCCTTCCTTCCTTCCTTCCTTCCTTCCTTCCTTCCTTCCTTCCTTCCTTCCTCCCTCCCTCCCTCCCTCCCTCCCTCCCTTCCTCCCTCCCTTCCTCCCTCCCTCCCTCCCTTCCTCCCTCCTTCCCTCTCTTCCTTCTAAAGTGGACAGTGGTTAGAGTGCAGTTTTGCAGGTTCACTCTGCCCACACACCAGGAGTTCAGTTGTGACCGGCTCAAGGTTGACTGGGCCTTCCATCTTTCCGAGATCAGTTAGACGAGGACCCAGATTGTTAGGGGCAAGAGGCTGACTCTGTAAACCGCTTAAGAGAGGGCTGTAAAACCCCGTAAAGCGGTATATAAGTCTAAGGGCTATTGCTATAACCGTTAATGTTTTTATTTGTTAAGCTTGCTTTCATCTGCAGTGATGCTTAAAGCGATTTAGAGTATATTGGGTGTTTCTGGGTGTTTGTTCTCTCCGTGGCTTCCTGAGCATAGGAACAGGTAAGAACATGGCACCCATCCTTAACCCCTGTTCTTTTTTTTTTCTCCCCCCCCCCCCCCACCCCAGTGTTTCGTGTAAATAACGGCCGAGGGTCAACCGAAGGGGACACCTCAGCCCTCAAGAGCACCCAAGAACCTTGCGCAAACGGACCGACGTCTTACGACCCCGAACAGCCTGTGCCTCTGGGCCCCACCGAAAGCTCCCGGGTGAAAGAACCCGCTTCAGGTGTGCCTGGTTTCCGTGAGCACCTAAAGGCGTCTCGGGGTGATAGTGATGAGAGCTTAACTCTTAGGAAGGACGCCCTGCAGTCTCTCAAACTAAGCCTCCCTTTGCAAGAAACTGAATTGTGTAAGCATCTCTTCACAGTGGAGCCCACCTGTTTCTTTCTCGCTCCGCCTCAAAGAAGTTTTTTTTCCCCTTCCTCTCTTCCTCCTCATCTCCATTTCTCTGCCTCTGCAGAATTTCTTCTGAATGCTGCTGCTTTTGAAGCACGAGCTGATCCTTAACCCCTAAGCACGTCTCACCTTGCCTTTAACGAATTGGCTTGATTTTTTTTTATTTTTTAAATGAACCTGGTGGGCTCGGAATCAAGGTTGCCATTTGCTATTTCTCTTAAAATCAAGGTGTTTCCCCCCCCCCCTCTGATCAATGTGGTTACCAAATTCCATGCCAGGGGTGTCAAACTCAGGGCCCTGGGGCAGTGATGGGATGCAATTTTTTTTTACTATCGGTTCTGTGGGCGTGGCTTGGTGGGCGGTGACATAAGTTACACGCCGGTTGCCAAGCGTCTGAATTTCGATCATGGGACCACAAGGGGGCGGCCTGTAACGGTCGTAAAGTATGAAAAACGATCAGGAGTCGCCTTTCCTCAGCGTTGTAACTTTGAACGGTCGCGAAACGGACTGTTGTAAGTCAAGACTCTATATGTGGTCGTTTTCTTAATTGTCGAGACGGATGGTGCTTGGTTTGGGATTTGTCGCTGAGCGGCCACTTGAAGTTCCAAGGGAGCTACTTGGGGGTTACTAAGAACCTAGATTTGACATACAGACAGACAGACAGACAGACAGACAGACAGACACACACACACACATCAGATTTTGTATGCTTGGCAACCGGGCTGCATTTACAGCCCTCTGCAGCGTCCCATGAGGCCACATTTTACTTCTAAGTTGACAATCCTATTTCGATTTTAAACACCCAAACAAGGATGAAAAATTGAGTCACGCTTCTCCGGTGACACCTTCTGTGTCATCCATGGTCATTTCCCCGTGACTCTCAGAGGCTTAAAAAAATTCCAAGGGGGAAAAAAAAATCTGTCTGCCGTCTTCATGCAGATTAGACAGTGGTGCAAAGCTTCCGTTGGGCTGGAAGGGCTTGCTAGACCCTGTTTTGAGCGGAGGGGCAACCATTATTCACAGATTGATCGGTTGAATCTATATAGATATAAAAGCAAAATATCACTCACGCATCATCCCAAAATCTCCAGAACCATAAAGCCTACAAACGTGACATTTGTCACGTATGTTCCTCTTGGCTCCTAGGGGCTCACTAAGAAAGGATTTTTCGAAATGACCATCAGAGCATTAGTATTATCTATATTATTATCATTAACACGCTCTGATGCTAAGGAGTTCTTCTCCCCCTCCCCACCTGAAAAGAAATCTCTTCCAAATGCAAAACACAAGCAGGGGAGAGGAGTTTCAGTTTCACAGCACCAAGCGGCTTTAGTACAGAACAGTTGAGTTAAGCCACGCCCAGGCTCCTTGCTGTCTCCTTGCTGACACAGCAAACACTCTTTCAGTTTCCAAATAGCCCTCAACTCTCTCACACCCTGACAGGACGTTAGCCAGATGAATACCAATGGATGCTGGTAGGCAGAGGCAAAAATTTCCCTCCCTAATTTTCCTCCCCAAAAACTAAGCCTGACCACATGGTTTCATAGCGAAGCACGAGTATCTTTCTAGTCGATGTATTAATTAATGGTCTCCCATCTCATGAATGAGACTTTGGGTGGCTAATCACGCCTTGACAGTTAAAAGTGACGTTAGCAAAGAATAAAACAATGGTTCCTTTGAGGCTTTTGGGGCTACAACCGTCATCTGTCTCACTTGGTCAGCTAGCAAACGAAGACTCCTTCCTGGCTTGAGATTTTTCCAAGATTATGCTTTATTAGAGCAATAAGTGGCTAAGAGAAGTGGAATCTGGTGAATTGGCGTGAAAACTTTACAGCTAACTTTTCCCTTCTCCACCCCCCCCCCCCCCCCCCCCCCCCCCCCCCCCCTGCAATCAGTCAGTGTCCAATTAGCCATGCTTATTTCGTTTTGGGAAAGCAGATGCCTCCTTGCCCGACCCAATGTGGATTCCAAACACACAGACACACACAGAGAAACCTCCTTCCTCCCACATTCCAATTTCCCGTCCCGTTGCAAAGATCGTCAGGCTGACAGGTTGCAAAGCAAGCAGGCTGACAGCGGTGATGGTAATATCCTAATTAAGTTAGTATCCAAAACATTTGGAAAGCATGTGGCTGTCGCTCTCTGGGATCCTGAAGATCCCAGCTCTCTTCTCTGGCTCTCTCCTCATGAAATACCTCGCTCCAGCAAAAATCAAATCCCCTCTTGAGAAATTTTGAACCTCTTTTTTTTTTTTTTTTTAAACCTGGTATCTAAATTTCTGGCGACTTTGCAAAGAGCGCTTCCTGTCTGTCCTACCTCCTTGTTTATTGTTTATTGTCCCCGAGCGACTTAACTTGCTCCTTCTTCCTCGCAGGCTCAGCCGATGCTCCTCTCCCGCTGGAGAAGGAAGAAGTGATCCGACTTCAGGCCCGGAAGCGCTTGGAAGAGCAGCTGAAGCAGTATCGCGTCAAGAGGCATCAGGAGAGAGTAAGTGCCTAGCAAAAAAGATTCCGGAGGTGGGTTGTTTTTTTTTTATTCCTCTGCGTGGTCAGCCAGATGTTGAGGCTGGAACTGGCATTTTTTTGTCCACTGAATTTTGAGTCCTTCCCAAGGATCCCAGAGAAGCACAAGTTGAAGTTTAGGAATTCTTGCAGGATGTCAGCTGTTCTGAGTAAAGCTGCCTCGGGCAATTGACTGATGGGGATTGTGTCAATGCCGCTGGTGTTCAAGTGCTGTAGTTGACCAGTGGTGGTGATGTCAATGCCAGTGGTGCTCGAGATGTTTTGGGATTGCACCCAAGGGACCTATTCCCTATTGGCACTACCTTTGCTTTCTTTTGCCGCAGTGGTTCTAGTTCTGTCTTATCTTTATATTTTGTGATTTTTTTTCTTCAGTTTTCTGCTATCTTTAGGTATTGCCACATCCACTATCCAGACTTTTTTGCCTTTGTAATGGACAATTGTCAAGTCTTGGGGTGTTGTGTGGCAGATGCCTGTCTCTTTGAATTCTAAACTTCCCGGAGCACTTTAGCTTCTTCATTTTCTGTGACTTTATTATGTGGTCCCACCAAGTCTTGCTTGCAGTCAAGTGGTATTTCTTGCATCATCATCATCAACATTTAAATTTAATCTTCAGTTCGATTCACAGTCTGGGATTGATTAAAACTTAAAGAGTTCAAATCCTAACCAAGGACCTAAGAGCTGTTGAGGTCATTTCTAAGTATATATTACTTAAGATTTAATATTCAATTTGGGACTAGTAAAAACTTAATATTATTATTACTATTATTACTATCATCTTTTATTCGTTAAACATGAAACTCAGTCAACTGAACGTTTAAAAATGTATCACAAATATTATTAACTGGTGCTGATGGTTGATATGGGTTGCTGCCAGCATCTTAGGTATCAACCAAGTCTCTTCTTAAAATATACGATGTTCCGAGTAGCCCAGTTTTTTGCACTTCCGCTGGTGTTATTGTAGGAAGCTGCAATTTCTTGATGTATTTTATAAAATTCTTGGACATGGTACTAAGTGCCCCGATGACAGTGGGTGTCACTGTTACATGTTCCATCCATAATCATATCATTTCGATGGCCAGGTCACGATATTGCGTGATTTTTTTCCAGTTCTTTTTCTTCGACTCTGGCATCTCCTGGTACAACGATATTATTATTGTTGTTATTGTTAATCTTTAGTGAGATTCACAGCCTTTGGGGGCTGGTTGGTAGCTCAACAGCTCGAGTCCTAACCAAGGACCTAGGAACCGTTCAGGTAACGTCGGAGGATATAAGCTGTTCCAAGTAGGGTGGTTTTTTTGTAGAATAAGGATATTCAAATCTGATAAATTCAGGATTTCCAAATAGCGAGGCAGCCTTTTAAGTATTGCTCCAAGGGCTCCAATTACAATTGGGATAAGACACGATTCTTTTTCCAAAGTTGCTTAACTTCAATTTGTATGTCCCGATACTTTGTGATTTTTTTTCTTGCTGCGTGTCTTCAATTTGTGCATCCCCAGGTATTGCAATGTCTAGTACTACTACTGTTACTATTATTATTATTATTTACTTTATTCATTAAACATGAAACTTAGTCAACTGAACGTTTAAAAATGTATCACAAATATTATTAACTGGCATGATGGTTGATATGGGTGGCTGCCAGAATCCTAGGTATCAACCAAGTATTTTCTTAAAATATACAATGATGATGATTTATTGTTATTACTATTTCTTTTACTCCAGCTGTTTACAGCTAAAAGCCGCCCCTCCAGCACCCTGGATCCTGAGCTGATGTGGAATCCGGAGATCTTACCAAGGGCCAGCACTGTGGCGATGACCAAAGAATACTCCTTTTTGCGAACCAGCGTCCCACGAGGACCGAAAGTGGGCAGCTTGGGCCTCCCAGCTTCCTGGAAAGAGAAAAAAAGTTCCAAATCTTCCCGTACAAGCCGGATTCGGTCGCTGGCAGATTATCGAACGGAAAACCCAGACGGAAGTGCCGGCGGGACCATGCCGGTGGCCGATTGCTCGGGCGGATCTCTGAAGCCGAACTCCAACAGCCTGACCTCGGTGGTGTCTTCCATCAGTCTGAGCCCCGATTCAGACGACCGGCTGGAAGCTTTGTCCTTGACGGGAGACAGCCTGTCAGAGGTGGATGGCAGCGAAGCGGGGATGAGGCTGGACGGCAACGAAAGCGACAGCTCGACCTACAGTAGCGTATCGGGAAGGGGCCTCGCTTCCTTCAGCCCCCGAAGCAAGCCGGGTATGGCCTTCGCCGTCAACGGGCAGGAGGTCCCGTTGGATGCTGTTGGGCAGTTCCCTTCCATCAAGGAGGTATTGCAGGCTGCGGCAACAGAGCAACGGGCTCAAGACCAGGAAGTCAACGGGGAAGCCAGAAGCCGGCGGGACAGTATTTCGAGCAGGTAAAGCTGTTATGGCATCTTCTCCAACTCTGAAGGCTCCAGCTTGGACTCCTTTTGTCCCAAAGGTGCCTTTTCAAAAGGCAACTGGGCTTTGTTTGTTTGTCCTGGAAACAAGGAAAACTCCGTCCTCCTTTCAGTTCTGAACTGAAGAAGCTTCTTGGATGAGAAGATGTTTTTCCTGGAAGATGTTCCATTTCTCATCCAAGAAGCTTCTCCAGTTCAGTTCTTCTCATCCAAGAAGTTTCTTCATTTCAAATTCTTCTCATCCAAGAAGCTTCTTCTTCTCATCCAAGAAGCTTCTTCTTCTCATCCAAGAAGTTTCTTCAATTCAGTTCTTCTCATCCAAG